CTGGTCGCTTCGGGCCTGCGATAAATGTTCTTAACTCTCATCCTCATGCTGGTCATTTTGTTGGAGTTGTGCCCTAAAAGCCAATTTCATAATATTAGATATTAAGTAGCAACTTCATATTAATTAATATATAAATGGGCAAGATTTATTCATTCATGAGTTTGGCTTTATATTATAGAGATAATATACTATGAACGAGTCCATAAGATTTAAGGTATGGAAGCAATGTCCTAAATGAGGTTAAGGCAAGGCTACTTGTACTTCATGGTCACTTAGTCCTTAAATAAAGTTCCTAACCATTTGGAAAGTCAACCGGACATTAATTGTCTGGAAAGGCCGATGTATATAGCATTAAGGTTTGCATGGTCTCGTTCTAAGCTTGTTGGACACGTGATGGATATACAGGTGCTTGTCCGTGTAAAGTTCATTGAAGACTGACCATCCAAAAAGCTTAAACGTATCGATGCTTACCACATGTCAAATGTTACAAAGTTTCTAGTTGCAGTATGCAAATACTTCTTAGTCCTAAGGCATAATAGGTAACTTATATTTCACATTCAGGTGATAGATTTCTTATGTGCATGAGTATGAAGATACATGAATAAGAAATCTGTCACCTACATTCAATAGAAGGAGAAATTCCTCAAAAGTCCTCAATGACATCGTAGGGCCCAGTACTGTGATATTCGGGTTTATGTGCATGAGTATGAAGATACATGAATGTGTAATAAGAAATCTATCACCTTCTGGTAGTTATTCAATAGAAGGAGAAATTCCTCGAAGTCACTTGAAGATTCATCTAAAAAATCTTCGACCGAAGTACTTGTTGATCAAGCTATGTTTGTAAGAATTGCGTCAACATGAGATGCATCATGGTGATCATCAATTACAACATGTGATTTGACATAAATCCATATCACATAAATCTTGATCAAGATATGGATGATAGAAGAACATAATTGCATGGTAACTACAATCAACGTTCGAAAAAGTATCATGACTTGTTCGTGTATACTTCTACTAATCCGAGTAGCCATGATTTGCTGCTAGGTGTCACTCATGGTTTGTGAAATTAAATAAATTCATTAATAAATTTCAATGTGGTCTTTAGTTAAAACCTAAGAGGTCACACACATATGATAAAGTTCTAGTAACACTATATGAATGATGATAAGATATAATTAATTGTTAATTATATTGTATCAATTATTTGGGCATATTGGATATTATCTTAATTAAATAGGCAGTAGGTTTTATTTTATTAAAAGGAGTCCAAGTTCACAAACCCATAGTGGGTAAGTGAGTGGGCTTAGCACGTGGCATAAAGCCTGAGGCGCCAAACCCTAGGGGAGGTGTAGCATAGAGGTGTGTCAAGGAGTCTATAAATACTAGTTGTGTTTTTTTCATACACACAATGTAAAAGTTGTTTAGTATTGTTTATCAGAGAAAAGACAGAAAAACCCTTAAGCCAAATACACCTTGTGTGCCGTCCATTCTATATTGATCTAAGTGAGAGATATTGCTAGCACATTTAAATCCATCACTCAATCATTCATTGTTAGATTTATCAATGTGGATACTCTTAAAGGCTTAACATTTGGGGAGCATCACATGATCAATCATGAAGAGGAAAATTGCAAGGATATGGATGATCCAATCAAGCTGCATGCACATGACTAGATTCAAGTAAGTTAATCTCTCCGACTTCTTAATTTGTTGCTCTATCAATTACAACTAATCAGATATATAATTAGGATAACATATTGTATGTTATTTGTTTATTTCTGCTACATATTTAAATATTCGACTCAAATTTATCCCAATAATATGCCCAGAAACCCAATATATTCTGCTCGGTTGGGCACGATCTCAAAATGTGTCTAAGACAATTGTGGTAGAAAACACAATGTTCTAAAAAACGGCCTAGGCGCTGGTGACCTGAGGCGTTTTCTTGCAAATCGGTTGGAAAAATCGGCTGGGCTCTAGGCGGCGCCTAGGGGGGCTAGGCCCTTTTTTTTTTAAATTAAAAAAAAAATCCTATCTACATTACTATATTTCCTTATTTTCCTCCTATTTGCATTTTATTTGGTTTTAAATTGTGAACTTATTGTACATGTGTCATCCTACAATACTCCTCACTATGGTTATATGACATATATGCTTAATGTGTTTTTAAATTTTGGACTTGTTGGATACTCTTTTTGCATTTTATCATTCTTGTATTATTTTATCCATGAATTTCATACAAGTATAATTTTTTGTAAGTATCAATATGCACTTATTTACAAGATATAAAAGAAATTTACCTAAATCTGCCTAGGCCGCCTAGGCGCTAGGCGCCAACCTGCCACCCGACTAGCGCCTAGCGTTTTTTAGAACCTTGAGAAAACATAACCAAATTGTCTTCATTTTTCACAGACGATGCCAAATTGTTAACTCTCAAATCTTGCAGGTTAACAAATTAAAACAATTAACCCTTGGTGGGCTTCAGTGGCGAAGCCACATGGAGACCAAGATGAGCACGGGCCTATCCTGAAATATTAGTTTATATACCTTATCTGTTGGTTTTGTAACTAAAGAATTTGTGGCTCGGTGGTTGAAGGGTTTTTTGTGTTCCTGCACGTCAGGGGTTTGAAATTTGCTGGTGAACCTCCTTCAAGTTCTTTATCAGCAATTGTTTTTTGGTTAGTTGATACAGAACAATGTTAATTTATGCTGAAGAAAACTCTCATAATAATAGTATTGAGCCATGATTTTAAATTTTTGTTTGAAATTAATGTTAACTTTATTGTTAATCTCGTAACAAGTTTTGTTTTTATGATATAATTATTTTAATACTAAGTTTTTTATACATGTTAAAGATCTACCAGCATTGTTTGATAAAAAATTTTCATGCCAATACAAAAAAGGAACCTTTAATTTTCTCTCATTAGTTATATTGCTATATTTTTTTGTCTAATTTTGTTTATATGATTTAAAGGGTCCATCCTAGTCTGAATTCCTGGCTCCATCACTGGTGGACTTGGGATAAAACTAAAATGAAATGAACTCAAAATTTAAGTGGTTCACCCCTCAACATTAGGCTACCTCCACTGTGTTGCTCGAATTATATTGATTTCAAGGGTTACAAGTAGCACTCGGCTAAGAGTTTTAGTTGTCTGACCCCTTACCAGAGGTTCTCACCCTTTTATATAGGCCCTCAATGAACCCATACAACCTTGGGCTCACCTGATCTCACTACCTAGCATTTAATGCGCCACCTACATCGATTAACGTGCTGACAACTTTTTTAACCATTAGTTGATATTCGGCAGTGAAGTGACGTTTGCTAAGTCAGGATTGCTCACCCTTTTAGATCAATGTATGATGAGCGACCTGACCGTCCTCGATTAATTAACCATGTCACTCCGAACAATGGCCCGACCACCTTTGTGTCTCATCCTAGACTTTAGCTTTTGATTGTTGATTGACACATGCCCTGATTAGTGTTTGAGTAGGCCTACTCCTAAAATCTTGTGCCATTAACTTGTTAGCCTTTCCACGTGTCCCTGGCAGTCGAAAAGTACTTTACGTAGCCTAGTTAGACTGAACTGGTGATCGGTCGAACTTAGCGCTCAAACGTATCCTCTTTTTAACTCCCGTGGACCTTGGGCTTCTTAATCTTCTTTGGGCTTAGACTTTTAATTGGGCCTTCGTGATCTCTTCCCGAGCTGCACTGTTTTGTGGATCGAAAACGACCTTGCGGTAAAAGGACCAGCGATACGGACCAAACTTTTGCCACCATACTTCATCAAAATACATATGGTCTTGAGATACATACAAAAGATAATGAGTGGATTAGCTGGATCCTCTTCATCCTCACATTCCTAGCGGGCGATGGATTTCAAGTTTGGAGTAACGATAAAAGACGATCTTGCAAACATAGTCACACTGAGGGAGAATGAGGTGATACGACACTCGATGATAAATATTGTAAGAAAATGACACCTACCTTGGACTTGAGTATTCCGTCAAGGAATATTGTGGGGTTTAATCTCCTCTTTTTCTTCTTCTTTTCCCTTTCTTTTACGTTGTATTTTACGTTTTTCTTTGTTTTAGCAAACATGTGTGTGTTTTTTAGGATAAGAGCTCCCTTCTTTCAATCACCTGATGATAAAGAATTTATATTAGGTCTCATATCTATTTATTTTTCACCTTTCATGAACAAAATTGTGATAAAGAAATCAAAAACAAATTTCCGAATTTGGGCCATGGGGCTTAAAATGGATTGTCTAGTTCAGGCCTATCTGAACAGATATTTATTTATTTATTAGTAGAGCGGTATTTTAAATAAACTTCCTGAATCATCATTACTTCAGTTAAAATTGACTCCTGAATTATATTTTTGATAAGTTAACCCCCTGAACAATTTAAAATTAGACAATTAATCTTTTATCGTCAGATTCGATGAAATTTTATCTACTTTGTCTTCAAATACTGACGCAATTTTACCCTCAAGAGTGTGAATCACGTGCTGATCATATGTCAGTATTTGATGGCACAATAGATGAAAGTTCACCGAATCTGATGGTGGCTAATTCCAAATAATTCAAGCAGTTAATTTACCAAAAAAAAAAAAAAAGAGTTTAGGAAGCCAATTTCAACTGGAATAATAACTTATAGATCAAAGTGTAGTATACCCTTCTAAATATTCTAATCCAAACTATGGGATTCAAATTTAGGTAAAACAGTGAAGCACACTGAACAAGTTCCATCAGGTGAGGATGTGTTTACCCTTGTCACTTCATGCTACTAGTACTATAGCTATTTTCCGTTACCTTCTGCTTTCTAAAAACAAACCTTTTATAATATGTTGGCATGTACGATCGGCCTGCAATTGCCATTTATTTCCGAGCACATTGCGATTGACGGGTAAGTATGAAAGACCATCCACCGTAGTGTACTTGGTAATCATTTCTTGTGTAAATACAAGTCCTCCATCATCCACACCATAACGGACGAATATTAATTTGGTAAAGAAAAAGCTACACAAGCGCACAAGGAGGAAAAAATCCATCGTGTGAAAACAAATCTCAGTATATAACGGGACACGACATCGTCCGTAAACTGTATCAAATATACATTGGTATCCCCATGTTCCAAAGCAAAGCTAGAGCATCTCATAATCATATGCCGTTCTACGCATGTACATTAGTGACTGAAAGCTCCAATTGAAAGAAAGAAACACATATCATCACGCAAAGAAGAAAAGAATAGGAAACGAGATGAACAAGTCAGAGACACAGGACGATCCTCCTCGTATCAGTTCCCGCATTTCCATTTTGACGTTGGCACGCAGCTTAGGTAATGGCACCAACTGCAGTGCTTGTTTAAGTTCTCTCCTTTGAACAGTAACACCAATCCTGTAGTTAATCTGCGTTTAACAAGAAAATCGATAATTAATCATCCCAAAAGATGCCTCCTGTATGCCAATACGTATACTAAAACTCATTCGATACAAGAAAGTTGATTGAATTGTATACGAAAATTCAAACAATGAATTAAAATTCCAGCAACAAGCTTACCCGGCAATCAGCAAGGCAGAGGCAACCAACACAAGAACATATTGGTAAGGCTTATGCTTAGATTTGACACGAGCATTGGCTGCAAGATTCCGAGACTCTGTCCATCCAAACTGGGGACGAAGTAGAAAAATAAAGCCAAGGAGAAAGCCACTCAAGAATCCTCCAATGTGGGCGAAGTTGTCAACATGAGGAAGAATCCCAACAGCTAAGTTAATGGCGATAATGACTATAAGCGTCAATAGTGCGGCGGCCTAGAAGACGAAGAGAGGTGAAATTTCAATGACTATGAAACATTCAAAATTTAACACGAAGCCATGACACAAATACAAGCATCAAAACCATTAACAGAATATCAACTTCACTTGATAGAACTGTAAAACTTTGGACAAACCTTATTTGTGTATATACTCCAGTTAGTAATAAGCTCTGATAACATAGCTCCGAGAAGTCCAAACAAAGCGCCAGAAGCACCAACAGAAATATTGTTCTGAATGAAAAGGGCAGATAATATGCTCCCACCAAATCCAGACAACAGGTAGATTATCCCCACGCGTACTGCCCAGATCATTCAAACATAAAATTTATGTCAGAACAAAACAAAAACATCACGAAAAGATGTAAAAAGAAATACATTAGTAAGAAACTGACAAGTATCTAGACAATTATCAACATGGGAGAGAACATATAGTTGATTTGCCATATTTCACGTATATGACGACATGGACGAAAAATGGCATACCAAACCCAAACTGCTGCTCAAGACGGATGCCAATAAAGACCAAGCTGAGCATGTTTGCAAGCAAATGGATGACACCAGCATGCAACCACATACAAGTGAAAAGCCTCCATCCTTGATGCCCATGTACAACCTTGAACCATTCAAGAGCTCCCAATTTTTCCAATCTGCAAAAGCAGGTGACTCAGATGATGCAAACTGAAAAGGAAGAAAGACATAGTATTTGCCCGTCGAGAAACACCACAAAACCATTTCCATTAAAGTACAACAAGCACAAAAGAAAACTTCTAAATTAAGATGCAGATAAACACTATTGGTCCTTTAACTGTAACACCGCAGATTAATATTTCCGAACTTTTTACATTCAATGAGTTCAATATTCTTTCTTTAAATCACAAAAAGGTCATTCTTCCGAGTCCTGAAGGATAAATTGTCGTGACACAAACTTAGTGGATTAATCAACAGTTTTTTCACCTATGACCAAACCAAAGACAACTAGAATACGAAAAATGTTGACAAATCCAACCAACGTATGAACCAAATAATTAGGAGAACCAAATAATTAGGAAAACCAATAAATTAGAGTCGGACCAAATCCACATTAATACGAATTTGGATTGACATTTAAAAGCAACATTAACATTTAACAAACAACAAATCAGGATGCAGATAGCATGATTTGAAAAATTGCCACACACAAATTTAAAAGACAAAACAAAAAAAAAAGGCCGAAAAACTACAGCACTAACAATTGCTTACTAACATACTGGACAACATATAACCAAGGTTTTAAAAATAGAACTTTACATAATACTGACAAATCCAATTTATGAATACATCGAAGAATATTTCGACATCGCTAGCCTTCAACGAAAATAACGATGAAATGTGGTCGAAAATATAGACTTTTGAGGGAAGAAAAACAGTAAAATTCTAATACATCTATACACATCCAACTAAGAAACCGTAAAATTAGCCCACTTCCAAATCTTAATCAAATTCCACAAAAACCCAGAATCCCAAATCAATAAAGCAGTCAAAACACAAAACCAACAAAAACTCGCAAAAAAAATAAAAAAATAAAATCAGAAATTGAGAGATGGGTAAAGTCAGAGAGCTCACGTATCAGAAGAAGGACCGAACAGAGGGTTCTCCCTGAGAGGCTCGAACGAAAACCGACCCAGAAACTTGGCCACGCACTTGTCGGCGAAACCAAGATTGTGTTTTGGGCAGTTGTTGATGGACATGGCGACGATGAAGACAACAACATTGGCCACCACGAACATAGGAATCAGCCACGATGTCCATTGGGTTTCGGATGTTCCCACGTAGTACTGGTTGGAGTTGTAATTGTAATTGGTGGGTCTGGGTTTTGTTGGCGGTCCTCGTTCTGGATCAGCCATTGTTTCGATTGTTCAGATTCTGTTTCTCTCTCTCTCTCTCTGGAAAGTGTGAAACTTTGGGCTTGTAGAGTGAGAAAGGCGTCTCGTTTTTGGGTGGATTCGGTGGTATATATTTTCAGAGGAAGGAGGAATTGGGGAGCAGAGATTTGAGAAGTAACTTGGAAGCGAGTGGAAGACGTGTTTTTTCGATGACGCGAAAGGAATTGGAAGCAGAAGAGAGAGAGAAGGTTGTAGATTTAAGTTTTAACAGTCGAAAGAAGAAGTAATGTAAAATGGTAGCTTTCTCTCTCCTTCCTCACTCTCTCTCTCTTCTGGGTTGTCGGTCTATTAAATATTTATGAGTTAGGCGGTGCTGTTAAGTCTTTATATATTAACTGAATTTTAAAAACAAATTAATTAAATATGTATAACTACGTCAAAAAACAAACAAGAATAATTAAAAATAAAAGTTTTTTTAAAAAAAGAAAAAGAAAACCACGTCTCTTACTCAGGAGTTCTAAAAGACGTTCTGCAATAGTCGGGCGACATATTAAGATCTAGCACCTAGGCAGACTAAAGCCTGGGCCTAGGCGGATTATTAATTATGATTTCACATGTAAATATAAATCTCTACTTAATACTCAAAAATAATACGCCACCTAATACTATGGTCTAGCGGAATTTTTTTTCACTTGAAATTGAAAGGTCTTAGGTTCGATTTTTGCCAAAGAAGAATTTGAATCATATTATAGCTATCTCATTGTGAGGCTAACCCAACCCCTCCCCTTAATGTAGATAATATCGTTTGTTAAAAAAATACTTAAAAGTAATACATAATTGTATTGTGATACATAAATTGCAAAATAAAATGACATATAGATTATAATTTTTTTGGTAAAAAATAAAATATAAGTTTTGGAACATATTGAAAACATGGGAATAAGCATACAATGAGTGCATCCAAGTATTAAACATGTATTTTACAATTTATTGAAAAAATAAAATACAAAATAAAAATTATTTATTTTCTATCTAAATGAGAATCATGATTTAGGTGAGTGCTAAATGAACTAGACGTGCCTAAAAATTAATTGAGGCAATGGTCAGTCGCTTAAATTCACACTGTCAAAATTTTCAGGAAAAAAAAAATTTCCTTTTTCCTATAAAAAAAAAGTGATGTGAATAATTTTTTTTTTTAAGAAAATAAACTAAATGATTAGTTCTAGTGAACTTTCAATTTCCAAACATGAATAGGGCAAAAGAAAATGGCAACAGCCAAGTAAATTAAGTAATAATAAAAGTTGTCATATTAGTCCAAAACTCCAAATCACACTTTTAGTCCTTTGTTTAATTGATTAGAGGGACTGAAAGAGAACTTCCATTAAATTGATTCCTCAATGTCATGCCCAATAAATAATTTTGTGAATGGAAAACACCATATGGTGATGTCCAATCTAAAAAATATGAGTGAAAAGGATAATGCATCCACGTGTTATTAAACTTGAAGTTACGAAAAAAAAATTATATTTATACACGTTGATGCGTGTTTGATCTTCACAAATCTTTTTCTCTTTAATAACTATTGACTAAATATTTAACCGACAACGCTACATAATTGCAAATTTGTTTGGCCAGATGGAGAGATTTTTTTTGTGACTCAAATAAGAAGTGGTACATTACCTATTGCTATATGAATGATGTAATATGTGTGTTAAAAAGTTAATAATTTAAGTATTAAATTTTTTTACTACTTATATAAAAATACGTGATGTACCGACTATATTCCGATCATAATAAAAAATCTATCGTCAAAAAGTCAGTGACTCGGCAATTCTTGCAACAGAACAAATGGAGTTAAAGGGAAAATTTACAAATAACATAATATAAACCAAATATAGTTTTAGTTAGATTACCTACCTTCTTTTTGTTTAAACTTTTACTTGAGATTCCAGCCCTAATTTCATCATTTGGTTCAGCACGTTTTGATTACTGCATCTTTCTTAAAAGGTAATAAAGCATGAAGCATATTCCCTATAAAGGCAACAAAAAATTTATGCAACTTTTCTAAGCTAATTTCTTTTCTTCATTACTTATTTTATTATTTAATATGAACTTATTTTTTAATCAAGCAATATTATTAGTGAGTTAAATAATTAATTATTAAGATAAGAATTGGTGGTAATCGAATCCGTATCAAGGTGCGTATATATGATTAAATAAAAGTTTTAACCCTCTACTAATTATGCTCAGTCTCCAAATTTATTTCCTATGAGTCTATTTCAGAATCCTTTTTGGGCATCATGTAAGGAGAAAAGAGAAGCAACTTTTACCATCAAGTTAATTGGATTGCCCACCTTATCTAATTGTGAGTTTGGAGTTGTGACTCAAATAACCGCTGCAATCTTGACTATCATATCATTAACAAATATTTCAAACCCACATTAACCCCATTTATGGAGAGTTTTCCACAAAACGATGGACGAGAAGCGTGGCAGTGAGTTAGTTTTATTTATAGTTTTTCTCTCACTTATGTCATATTAGATCACTAGCAAACAATAAGATTAGAGGCCTCAACTTTTTTCATTGAGATTTCAGAGTTTAACCAATGATTCACTACTAATTATATCGATGTTGTTTTTCAACTTAACGACATGCACAATCGGCCAGTGTTAAGTTCTATTACAAAAGTTTTCAATGCAATTAAAAGTAGAACTATTCAATATAAATGAAATAAAATAATTTATTTTGTAATGTTTTCGATGTAGAATTATATTCGTCTACATATTCATCATGTATTGTGCATGTACAATATAAAGTCTTGTAAATTGTAACATGATAAAATATAGGAAACTAATGAAAAATAGCTTGAAAACTTTGAGTTTTAACGATAAGGACAAAATAAAGGGTAAAGTGAATAGTATCAAGATTGACTTTTTAGTGTAAAAATATGATTTTTCATTTAAGTGAACAGTACCGAGAGTTTTTCGTTAAAATTCCTATAAAATATTACTTGGTCACAACACTACAGGCAAATTAAGTGAGAAAGCTCTCCTTAAATAAACCGCACGAATTTAGATAGTGACTACAAAGTAAAAGGCCCATGCTTCTACAGTTGTAATTGCTTGTATCGAGGAAATCTTTGTAATATGAGGGGTTTACTAATTCGTAATCAAATTAAGAGGAATTGAATTAAGGAGAAATTTGATTGAGGAGGAATTGAAATGAGGTGGAATCAGAATCAGAATCTTGTTGAAGTTGTTTACTAAAACAGTCTGGAATCGGAATAGAATTCTATAAAGCTGTTTACTAATTCAGCAAAATCGGAATATAAACCAGTATGATTACTAAAATGCCCTTATTCCAAATCAAATATTTTATATACTTTTTAAATAAAATTTGATATAGTATATAATAGTAAGAAAAATTAAATTATTTTTTTTATTTCATAGACACACTAAAATGCCCCTATTCTAAATAATCTATATTATATGCTAATCTTTATTTATCTTTAATAAATATTTTATTTTATTTTTAATTTATGTGAGAAAGGCTTTTTAAGTCCTTTTAAATCCAATCCAATCAGTGCTCTTCGTTTTCTGATCAGCTGACAAAATGCCGCCTCCTCACCCTCTCACTCAGCTCGACCACAACTACCCTCCCTGAGAATCCGACCATTCTTTGCTCTCCCTCCCTACCTCACCATCAAGGATTCAAGGTAAGCCTTCTATGTAAATTTTTATTTTTGGTTGAATTGATTATGCTCTACCCTGACCTTCCCTATGCGGCTATGTGTAATGATTCAAGCTAATATGTTGTTGAATTGTTGATCTTTCAAGTGTTTTAAGGATGCCCAATTGCAATCCTTATCCCCTATAAATTCTAACGAGAGTCTGAATTTGCAGTCTTTGGAATTAAAATCGGCAGCCGAGCCCTAAATCGAAGGAATTCGACACGGCAATGCATGAGGTGCAGAGAGGCGGCAGCGGAGGAGCACGAGCTGCTTGAGAGGATGGTGGAGGACAACGAGAAGATGGGAGTGTTGAAGGTGAAGGGTGCTTTGGGAAGAAAAATTTGATTCCGGATGAAGCCTTCTACCCGGAATCCAAATACTACCTTCGTGTAAGTAATCCAATTCCATCAATATCAAGAATTGAACTCCTGATTTTACATGGGTCCCGTAACATTGTGCATTCCGGTTGAGTTAGTAAATAGTTGAATAATCATGAATGGGGAATGACTCCCATTCCGCCATTTCCTTTCCCCATATGTAAACACGCCATTAATGTTGTGTTGTATTCGATAGAATATTTTTATGTACATGGAGTACAGTTGGTATACTATGTGTCACAATAAAAATAGAGATAATATATATTTTTGACTGTCTTGGCATTTGTATTATAACATGTGGTGTACTATCTCGTTTTTTAAGTACATTGAAAAATCTCTCATTGTATTCTTGTTATGCTAAAAAAAAGTTGTATTTGTCGTTTTCGTGTCATACTCGTTATCTTAACGGATCATATTGTGTCAAACTTGTTAGGATAAGATAACGGATTCTTAATAGGTAACTCCACAACAACCTGATTTGTTAAAACCTTATTTTTATTTAAACGTTTACTTGAGATTCCAACCCTAATTTTATATTTGGTTCTGCACTTTGATTACAGCATCTTTCTTAAAAGGTAAGAGAAATGCTAAGAATACTCTTTCTCTCTCTCAAGTGTGACTTTTTATAAACTCTTCACCACCTTATGTTTTAATACAATATTTTATAATGTTGCATGAAAATTATCCATAAATAATTATACTTTTGAGAGAGTTTACTTGTCACATCCCGGCCCGGGGCGGATCACTTCACGGGCCCGCTCCACCACCATAGCACGATATTTTCCGCTTTGGGCCCCAACTACGCCCTCACGGTTTTGTTTCTGGGAACTCACGAGCAACTTCCCAGTGGGTCACCCATCCTGGGAGTGCTCTGGCCTCCTTCTCGCTTAACTTCGAAGTTCCTACGGAACCCGAAGCCAGTGAGTTCCCAAAATGCCTCGTGCTAGGTAGGGATGGGAATATACATTTAAGGATCGCTTCCCTGGGCGATGTGGGATGTTACAATCCACCCCCCTTAGGGGCCCGACGTCCTCGTCGGCACACCACGGCCAGGGTAGCGATCCTTAAATCTATATTCCCATCCCTACCTAGCACGATGCCTTTTGGGAACTCACTGGCTTCGGGTTCCGTAGGAACTTCGAAGTTAAGCGAGAAGGAGGCCAGAG